TGAAGTCACAAAAGCTCATTGTTAAGAAAAAGGCAAACAAATGCAAGGGAGGGAAAATAGGATGTAAAGCACATGTGAAATTGTGCCCTCCTGATTACTCAGCAAACATGGAAAGGGGGCGCCTGGGGTAGGGGCTACAGGAAGCTGGTTTCTGCATTCGAATAAAATCAGCACACTTGCCACACCAGGCTAGTGCCTGGATTTGAAAAGCCCTTCAAGTAAATTGCTTCCTTTTCATTTTCTGAAGTTCTGGTTCTCTTATTATGAGGTGAGGGTTTGCATGTCCCTCCAGGACACATGTGACTCCTTACACTTAAGTGAATGAAAATTAAACACAATTTAAAGATCAGTTTCTCGTTTACACAAGATGTACATCAAATGCTCAAAACTCACGTGTCAGGAGTTAGTGCACAGCACTTCTATCCTTCCAGAAACTTCTATTGGACAATGCCCCCCCCCCTCACCAGAATTCATTTAACATAGCATTGTGGATTGAATGTGAACTGTCTCCTGTAGGATCATGTGCTAAACCATTTAGGAAGCTTGTAGGACCTCTGGGGTGTGAGGCCTCACTGGAGGGAATGGGTCACTGAAAGTGGGCTCAGAAGTTGGTTAACCAGACCTCACTTCCTAGACACTCTCTGCTCCTTGCTGGTGTAAGGTGACCTCATGCCCCGATGGCCATGACTCCCCCACCATGGTAGACTCTGTCCTTTTAAATAGTGAGCCCAAAGCCTTCTTCCCTTACGTAAATTTGCTGGGTATCTTGTCATAGCAAAGAGCAAAGTAACTGATACAGAAAGAACCTTGTGAATCCTTCACCTAGGAAATCGGAAGTTGGAGAGCATCTCTGTAAGTAGAGTTCTGGTTGAGGTGATGATGGGTAAGGATATGTTGATACTGCCACATTTTACCTTTGAGAAACTCTTTGAGAACTTAGAGCTCTGCAGAGGACAGAGAAAATGGATGAGGGGGATCCACCCAGCCCATGTAACTCAGAACTCAACCGTCGCCCAAACATGCAGATCCGATCCAATGTAATTAAAAACTGGCTCATATCAAAATAATATCTTCCTTGTGTTTTATCCAACTTACTCCTGACCCATCTGCTTGCATTTATTCCAAATATAGCAATATGGAAACATTCAAAGTACTTGCCATGAGACAAAAATGGCTTTTTAATTCAATCTCATCCACATTTAATCTGCAGCTTCCTTTTGCAAGGCATCATGATGATTCCCTTAAGTCTATTTGAGGCTTGCGTTCCCTTCGCAGCTACACTCCCTTTTGAATCCGGGGACAGGGGGGAGTAATGAATGACCGGATTGTCCAGAGTGTTCCCCAGCCTCAGTTCAGCTAGAATTAAACCTTCCCATCCCTGCCTCTGGGGTTGCTTTTGCTGAAAAGCCCTGTTCCTAACAGGAAGGCCCTGGCCAGTCCTGCTAGACGAGCAGCTTTTATAATGCTTTGTTACCTGAAGTGATGATGTGACAAGTGTTTGGGACTTTTGGGGTGAGAGAGGATGACAAAGGTGAGACCTTGTGTGAAGAAGAGGCATAAGTTCATTGTCATTACAAATGTCCCCAACTGCTGTTTCAAATGAACCATTTCACCCTCTCATCTCCTTCCAGAACCCTCTTGTTTTCTCCCTTGGCCTTCGTTTTGTCTTTCATTCTTTTCTGGTACCAACATCTCAAACTTTTAGCCATGGGCTTTCTTCTAGCCCCCATCATGTAGTTAGTAACTCACAAACAGTATACTCTATAGGGTTCTATTCACTCCATATCGCATTTCGGGACCTGAACTCTGGCTCAGTATTTCCCAAATAGGAGCCTGGGCCAGCCCAGTTTTCAGCGAGGAGTCCTAAGATCAGAGTCTACGAGAGCAAAGATTATATAGCATGTGGGTTAGCATGGGGACAAGGGCAATGATTGCCACCATATGACTGCAGTCTCACTCCATTGCTCCCAACACTCTGATGTTCATGGAGCCATATTTACCAAGAGCTTCAAACCATGTTAACTCCAAATGTCTTAAATTTAAGTTTGTGTAATGTAGATATTTTTTTAACTATAATGAAAAAGTAAACTCTCAAAAATAAAATCTACCCATCAAGCCAATTTGCAACCTAGTGAGGGTAGAAGTTGGAAAACAACCCTGACTTGAGCATAAGCGCCATGCACGTCCATGCTGTCAAGGTCACTTCTATAAAGCAAGACAGGTCTCCCAACTTGGAACTAGCGAACCATCTTCATATGGTCTCCAGCATTTTCAGCCATCAGGGCTGACTTCTTCCAGGATGAGGGAGGCAGCTTTTAGAACAGGCTTTCAAAGAATACTGATATTGGCCCCTCACATCCTTTAGAATTGCTTGCAAGTCGTTAAAATGGTATAAAAAGATCTCCGTGCTTTGTCTTCCAGGAAATTGGATGAAGGTGAGTCTTAGAGCCACCTGTGCAAGTGACAGGGTATGCATAAAGAGAAAGCCCATAATTCAGTGTACTTTTCCTTCAGAGGTGCTCATGCCTTGAAACCAAAGTCTCTGAGCTTTAAGCAAGTTTTCTGTGGCCAATCAGATAGTGGGGGTGCATTAGAAAGAAACCTTGAAAGTCCTAACTCAACCTTCTGCCTCCAGAGGATTGGAAGCAATGCTTGAACTTACACTACACCAGCAGTGGAGTTGGAACCACACACCCTGTGCGACTCTTAAAAGGGGGATGCTTTCCTGCATCCCAGACCAGCTCCCCAAAAAGTCTGACACAACTCCACAGGAAACTGAGTAATATGCATCTGCAATCCCAGCACAGGGAGGCTGAAACAGGAGAACTGCTGTGAGTTCCAGGACTGCAGTTGGGCGTTTTTCCCGTGTCCCGCCCAGTCTGCAGCCACTCAGACCCAAGTAAACAGACAGAGGTCTATATTAATTAAAACTGCTTGGCCATTAGCTCAGGCTTACTACTGACTAGCTCTTACACTAAAACTGAGCCCATTTCTGTTAATCTATATGTCACCACATTTTCCATGGCTTTACCTATATGCCATTCCATGCTGCTCCCTGGACTCATCTCCTGACTCAGCCTTCCGCTTCCCACAATTCTCCTTGTTTGCTTATCCTGCCTGTACTTCCTGCCTGGCTACTGGCCAATCAGTGTTTTATTAAACCAGTGTACAGAAACATTATCCCACAGTACAGGACCACACTGAGCTACATATTGAGTACCAAGCTAGCCATGGAAACACAGTAAGACCATATGTCAACACACACACACACACACACACACACACACACACACAAATAATTAAACAAAAATTGTGCTTTTTCTGGGGTAGCCTTTTTGACAGGGACACTATCGCTATGAGAGGATGTGTGCTTTGAAGAAAGGCAAACGCGACTAAAATCAAACAGAGCTGAGATCACAAAGCACCAGAGCCACCTGTGAGAGATGAAAGCTCAGTGTGTCTACTCATAAAGAGGAGCAGGACCACTCCCCCAGACCTGTATGCTGATGGTAAAAATGAGTGAAGTACTTGAGGCTGGAATGCTATAAACAAGGAAGGTCTACGTTGGCTCCCCATGATGGAGCTGAGATCCAACACCCAGCAACAGGATTCAACGTTCAAAGCACTCAAGTTGAATTTTAATGCAGAGTATCAAGAAAAGAGGAGAAGAGGGTAACTACTCAGGAGGAAGTTGAGGAAAGAGAACAATGTTTACTTTTTTTTCCTTCTTTGAGGAAGCTCAGTTTTTCAGAAAGGAAAATCGTTTAGCCGTCTCCCTCCACTACAGCCAAGTCTAAGAAGAAGGGGCTGAAGAAACAGGTTTATGAGCATGTGGATTGACAGGAAGAAAAGGAGGAAAGGAAGGAGGGAGGAGAGGGAAGATGGACGGGGAAAAAGGGAAGGAGGGAGAGAGAGAGAGGAAGGGAGGATGACTTATCTAGACTACACTTGCAAAGCTCTGTTTCACCTTTGGCTGAGATCTGGGCACTATCAGGCACTATTAGAATGTGTCTATGTTAAGATGTTGGAGACAGGGACAGTTTGACTTCTTTAACAGTTGTTGAACCCTTTGCTATAATGCCTGTTTGCCTCGAGTGAAGGACTGTCAGTCATGAGGCCCCTCTTGCACGGCTGGCCGGACTGGACTGCCCTCATGGTGCCTCGCTGCTCTGAACGCTTTACTAACGCCCCCCCCCCCCCCCCCCCACCGAGGAAGCCACAGTGCAATCACAGCTACTTCCTGAACATGGCTCTGGCTGGAGGGGGAACTACACCAGCCGCACCTGCCTCGCTCAGCCTGTGCCATGTTTCCCCATCATGAGCCGCTGACAAGGACTAAAGATCCTAACATCCTATCACACGTCCAAGAACGGCAACCCCAGCCTCTAGTACCTGAGGGTCCGTGCCCACCCAGAAACGGGAATAGCAGCCTGTGTCCCTGCTGAGCTGCTGGAGCCGAGGCGTTATAGAGCTGCTCCTGCAGGGCCGCTTATTCTTAAAATGCGGAGCAACAAGCCTCCAACACAAGGACCTACAGGCCTAAACCTCTAGCTTTGAAACTTACAGTAGTGGACCCTTTTCTACCGAAGCTTGCAGATAAGCCTCTGGGGCTGCTCCTGGGCACTCAGGAAACTGAGACCACCAGAGGCAATTGCCTTTGCCTATTTTTTTTATTTGTACTCAAATAGAGCAAATGATCCTAGATAGTTGATGAGCAAAACACAGATACATACACACATGTGTATATATGCACATGCACCATAGACATACCACACACACCGCAACCATTACCACCACCACCATCACCACCATCACCACCATCACCACCATCACCACCATGACACCTCCACCACCACCATCACCACCTCCATCACCACCATCACCTCCATCACCACCATCACCACCATCACCTCCATCACCACCATCACCTCCATCACCTCCATCACCACCATCACCACCATCACCACCATCACCACCATGACACCTCCACCACCACTGTTAGCATCACCACGCTTTATTGGCCCTTCTGTCTGCTGATGGTCGCTCAGTTGGTTCCACGTCCTGAGTACTGTAACTAGCGCCACAAAGAGCCTGGTGAGAAAGTTTGTCTTTTTTCACGGATCAGCTTCCTTCCCTTTAGATGAAGACCCAGAAGTGAGGTGGTTGGATCGTACAGTAGTTCTGGTTCAGACTTTGAAGTACTTCTATGCTGTTTTCCACACTGATTCCACTGTTCACATGTGCTCGCAGTACCCATGGGTTCCCTTTCATGTGTGTCCTCACAGCGCTCATGCGTCCTCTTTCTTTTTGATGACAGCGGTTCTGACGGTGGTGTGAGGCCATGTCTGGCTGTGGTTCTCATCAGCATCGGTGTTGCCCCAGTGATGAAGGATCCCCAGCAGCAACCCATGTGCGGGGTGGTGGCTTGCATGTTCATCATGGAGCCATGCTGTGGACAGATTTCCAAGAACATAGAGGGGCCTGCCTGCCCTTGGCTTTATCTAGTGTATTGTTGGTGTTTTTGGGATCCATACACACTAGGCGTGCTCTACTCTGTCTCTTTTAGTGTGATTCTTGGAGGGACTACAATCAAGAAGAACGTAGGGTCCAGAATCAGTGTGAAAATGACCTTAAGGGTCAGCTCCTTCTGTTCTCTCAGACTCTAAATGAGCGGGCTGAAAATAAGAAGTCATTGCCCACAGTCACAGCAAAGTTGATAGTAAAGTCTAAAAGACACATTGTTGACTGTTGGTGTCCTGTCGCCTACATCCTTGACACTTAATCTGTGAGAAAACTTGAATGTTAGTCCAGACCCCGCAACGCTGAGCAGGCTGCCTGTGTGAAGACCCTGGGATGACATATAGTGTGAGCACCCTTCCTGGCATAATAAAGAAGCAGAGGATACTAACGTATGGGGGGGGGCATACAGACAGAGACAGAATTAACACATATGTGTATCTTTGTTTATGCATATATGTGCATCCATATATACACACACAAATGTGTTCCTGTTCATATGTACATGAATATGTGGGGTAGGCATGTATGAGCACATATGTGCATGAGTAGGTACATGTGTAAATATATGCATTCCCACGCATGGGTGAGCATCTGAGTATATGTGTGCCTGCACATATCCATGTATGTTGGTGTGCACATATATGGATGTGCATATGAAAGTGTGGATCACAGATGGAGGGATCTCAGTGAGATATTGTCTGAAAAAATGGAGGAGGGTGGTATTGAACTTCTCTTCCCCCAAGAAGCTACATTTCTGACCCCAAGAAGCTACATTTCTGAACACTCTCAGTAGGGGCAAGCATTTGTGGTGAATCTTGGGGACAGAATGTGAACTTTCCACGTACAATCATGGACACTTGTGTTGTTTTAAAGCAATTCTGAACTCAAAGAAAAAGAAAAGACCAGTTTTCATTTCTTGTCCCGTGCGCTGTACTTTGCTACATTTTGCTTTTGAAGTGGTAGCATGGTCAAGACTTGTAAGAAGATGCCCAGTGGGATGCAGGAGGCCCCCAGTTGGGAAGAAATGCAGCAGATTTCCTGGAGAGAGGAAGTTCCCAGTCTCCTTGGGCAGGAGAGTCACCTCCACTTCTGGAAGGTGAAGGGACAAAGTAAGCATGTTCCCCTCCTGGTTGCAGGTGTGGCACACCCTTCAGCGTTTTACCTTCCCCAGGAGAACATCAACCCAGGAAACAGCCTTGTGTTCTCTGTTGGTGAAAGGCCCATCCACATGGTTCGTGTCCTGAACCAAAGTCCAACTGCAAACAGTGCCTCCACCCACCCAAGCACAGGCTCCGCATGGCCCACACTACCTGATCATGTTCACTGCAGTAGTAATCTGGATCAGGTTGCTTCTAAATTGTAACTCTTAAACCTTCCTGAGGCACTCTTTTTGGGGTTAGTATATGAAAAGTCAGCTGGAAAAAAAATGGTAATAAGAAAAACAGACCTCTCTCAAGAAAAGAAAAATACACAGAAGGAAAAAAAAATCACCGAAGCATTGTATTAAATGTCTTCATGGGTAAATGCCCTTTCCCCTACTTCCTGCCAATTATATTAGATTCAACTGAAACATCAATTTCTCCAAGAGAAACATCTTCCTCTCAGCTTAATGCTGAACACTGAGCACTGGTAGATGTCAGTGAACTTGTCACACTGTGAACCCCAAGCCGGGATGAAAGGCTATATGTAGGGCTCATGCCTCTGGTAACAGCTGTTCCCCCTGTTCTGGAGGCCCCTGACCCCCACTGACAAGTGCTGATCATGGCCAAGGAAATGAAATCCCCTGGGGAGAGTGCAAATGATAAGGCTAGAAATATGGGTGTTTTCTTGGATGGGCCCCTTGGGATTCTGGGAAACCGTGACCACAAGTCAGAGGGCCTACTCGGCATTGTGTAATGTCCGTCCAGAAACAATGTCCGTCCAGAAAAAAAAAAAAGTCTCTTTTGCCTAGGACCTGCTCCAGTAGGCCTGTCAGAAAAAAAAAAAAAACCTTCTCTCTGGACTTTGCTCTCGAGCTCAGGTTGCATGGAAGAAATGGACTTGGCAACTCCCTTCCAGGCAGCAGGAGGGGTGGCCAAGAGTGCCCGAACAAAGCAGAAAGCAGTCTTCCTCTACCAATGGAGCAGGTCTGAAGGGGACAGAGTGGGCATTCTCACCGCTGGGCTGAGCTGGTGTTTGGAAAAGCCCTCTTGGACAGCAGCTGTAAATCACTAGGCGGCCTCTGTTTGCATGTCCGCAGCAGCCAAGGTGCATAGCCTGCCTCCTCAGCCAGCTTCCAACACAGCTTCATTTCTGGAAGTTAGGCAAAAAAAAAAAAAAAAAAAAAAAAAAAAAAAAAAAAAAAAAAAAGACTTCAAAAGCTAAGTCCTGATCCCCCCAAAGAAGGACGCTAGAGACACTTCTGTAAGGAGTGGCCCAACCAGCTGCTGCAACATCTGTGGAGGCATGCCCACCCTTGGGGAGCAGAGCTGGCGCTAGGCAACCTTCCCCTTCCTCCTGCTCCTCCTCCATGCAGAAATTGGAATCTAGGGGAGGTCCAATCTGGCGTCAGGAATGCATCCTCCCTTTTCCCTCCCCTGGCCTCCACCGGCTTCCTGAGACAGGAAACTTTAAATTGCTGGGATGGGCCACCCTAATTGCTACTCTTTTAATAACTTGGTTCACTCCTTGAAGCCTCCGTCAACATTCTGGAAGTAGTGGAATCCGAACAAGGAGGGGATGCTGTGCCTCTTGCACGGCCTCCCTTCCGCATTGAAAGGACGTCCCAGGCATCAGAGAATGCATCAGTCAGCAAGGTTCTGGACTCCTCTCCACAGCCCTAAAAGATGCCTATAACTGATTTCTCATGTGTCTGCTCCATACACACACACCCCAACCTATCCCCCGCTGAAGTCACTCCTTGCCATGTCCCGTTCTCCAGACACCATGATTATGCCTGTGTTCATTGTCTTGTCTATTTGCACCAGCTCTGAGCTTCAAATCCAGTCCACCATTCCACCTTTCCCTAACATGATCTTGCAAAGGGCTTAGAGAACGGGTGGATTTCCAGGATAAGGATCGTGGCTGATGCCTGGAGAAGTTAAAAATAAATAATAACACCTTCCCTGGATGTCTAACTAAGCAACATCCAATGAGAGCGGAGACCCTAAACGGGCTTCATCTTTGGTTTTGCAGACTCCTCCTTGCTTCCCTGGTTTTCCAGGACTGCCAGAACCAGCTTTTGTGGGCAGCCTCCGGAAAGACAGAAAATGTCTTTAACATCTCCATATAGAGGAAAACAGTGGAAACAAGCTCTCGAAAACCAATGAAGTAAGAGTGAATGGGAGATGCACACCAACTCATCTGGCCCCATCTCAGTCAATGGACCAGTACTTGTGTTCAACGGTGGTTTGGGAATTCTAATTCATTTTGTGGTGGTTTGCTGTATCAGTAGTTGTTAGAAACTCAGACCTTTGGTGCAAGGGTAGATGGAAGGGTTTAAAAGGTGTTTGCTTCTCGGTGATAGAACTATGATACTGAGTTTCTTCTGTCATGAAGGAAAAAAAAAAAAAAGACTGTTGAACTTGTGGGGTGACACTGTTCCTAGGAGATGTGAAGCAATATTTACTTACTCTTAGACAGGAAACCACGGACAAATCAAAGTATGGATGCCACCAAAGTCCAACTTGGTAAGCAATGAGTTTTGTTGAGGTCACTCACAGGGGCAGAAGTGACTCAAAGCTGGCCGCCATCACAAAGCCACCCCAGCATGGGTGACAGCTCACAAAGCTGGAACCCTGGAGCTCACAGCACAGCCTGCAGGCGGCTTGACTACAGGATGGAGACCCAGAGGAAGCCCTGAGGAGGTGAAGACCCCAGTGGATGTGTATTTTGACATAAGCACTACCTGTCAAGGGCCCAGACCAACTGGCCCATGATAAACTAACTGGCAAAGCCATTACCCATATGGGCCAGGCTCCAGATGGATGGCAAAGATTTCCTCAAGATTCACACCATTTTTTATGTGTGCGAAGACAAGCAAGTGCAGCATTCTACCCATTTTCACAGCCAGACACTGCTCACCTACAGAGACTTCTGTCTGAGTCTGACTACCTCTCCCCATTGTGTTGTACCTAATAAACAAGTGTGTGCGTGTGGGGGGGGGGGTTGTAGGCGTGACACTTTTAGATCAGTAAAAATGATACTGCTTATCTGTTTCATTTCTACATTTCTTAGGATCATTTCAACTTTCCCTTTCTTCTTTCCCTCACCTCCCTTAGCCATGATTCCAGGACCCAGGCCATAGACTGGTCCTTTCCAGGTAGCTCTCTCTGTTGGTGTGAGCTTCTTCCAGGCATCTTGGCTAGTATCTCCGTTTCTCCTAGGCTACTTCAATTGCCTGAGCCTCTTCTAGGCAGCTCAGCTGGTCTGAGAGGTCTCTCAGAAGGCTTTGCTGATTATATATACAGGGGGATGCAGAGGGTTTGCGAACATGATCACTTTCAGAGACCGGATGAAGCCTTTGAGTCATTTACTTCTTGGGTTTAAGGAGCTTCCTTAGGATCCCAAGATGGAAGGTTTTAATCTTTGAGGAAACTGAGACCCAACAATCTCCCCTTTCAAAAGAGATATAGATGGGAACATGGCACTTGGAACAGGACAGTGAGAGAGGTCTCACCAATTGCAAGCAGGTCAAATGCGGGAACCAAGTCTAAAGATCTACAGCAGTTGTGAGCAGGATTAGAATAAGGTGGAACTCTAGTAAGGGTATGGCATGAGATCACACTAGGAAACATGTAGATTTTTTTTTTTTTTTTTTTTTTTTTTTGTAGATTTGGGGCACCAGGATGTGCTTGTAGATGTCTGCAAAGGCTGTTGGGTAAGTTCTTTTGTGAGTAGAGTTGGGAAGGCCCGGGGTCAATAAGGATCAACTTCAGAAAGTAATTTCTCAGTGAAGTCATGTACTCTGAGAGAAGAGATTTATTTAGGAATCAAGTGAATGGTTACTGTTTTAATGGAACATGTTTTAAGTCTGAGACTTTTAGACCTACGATGTTCTATGACCTTCTTGACATGAAACACTAAAACAAGGTCTTCAGGGAGGGAAAAAGAAAGAAAACCAGAAGAATGCATGATTCTGGTAGCAATCTGAGCTACCTGCAATAGCCATGCTCAGTATATCGGTAAGGGAAATTCAGGATACCAAAAAATAAACAAACAAACAAATGTGGTTTAGACAGATGTCAATACTAGGCGGGAGGGTGCTAGTGGCTGTCTAGAGGGCAGCCCACTGCAAGGGGACCTGAAGTACTCAAATAGTAATTAAAGCTTTGGACTTCACAGGCAGCCAAGCCTAAATGTGAATTCTTCCTAGACTTGTGGTCTTGGGCAAATTACCTGAACTCTCTGAGCGGTGTGTGTGTGTGTGTGTGTGTGTGTGTGTGTGTGTGTGTGTGTGTGTGTGTGTGTGTGT